GGGGCCCTGTGGCTGCACCACGCCGCTGTCAGCGGGGACCTGACCTGCCTGAAGCTCCTGGCGGCTGCCCACCGCAGGTGAGGGGCTGGAGCGCCTCCTGTCGGCAGTCTGGGGGCCTGGCCCTTGAGGAGGCTGCACCCAGGGGCAGAGAACAGCTGTTGGGCAGGCACACAGGGACAGGACACAGGGATGGGCAAGCCTGGCTATTCCCACGGCCCCACATGTGTTCCCGAGACCTTGCATCTCAGCAGTGAACAGCGTTCTTATTCCTGCCCCTCCCCCCCATTCCCACCCCTTGGTGAAGGCCTTTGGGACTTGCCTTGCGGATCTTCCCCAGAGTGTCCACGCTGGCCACGGAGTCTCTTAGACCCACAGTTTTTAAAGTAGTTTCTGCCATTTGAAAACTGGGAGACTTCACATTAAAACATACGCACACACATATGCACATACACACACACATATGCACACATGCAGTTGCACATACACATGCACACGTGCACACACACAAATGGGAAGGACCGTGCCCCAGAGGCCAACAGTCCCACTTGGCACCACTGCAGGAGCCAGAGGTGAAGTCTGTGTCACCAGGGGATAGGGGTCAGCCTTGGGTAGGGGGTGGCCCCTCCCTGCAGCGAGTCACTGGCCCTGCAGCAGGTGGAGGCAGAGGGGATTCGGGAAATCCCAGGACCTGCTCCAGTCCATTCACACCGGCCCCAAATGCCAGGCCCGAGTGCCCATGGATGGGATGGATGTCTAGTGTCCGGCTCACAATGTCCCCTTTTACAGGGTAGGCTCAGCTCTGAGTTCACTGACCTGCCCACTGCAGGTCCCTGGGCTAGTCACCCTGAGGCGCCCCCTGCTGGCCAACTCCAGAGGCGCACAGCTTGATGGGGAGTGGGCGGAGCTGGATTCCAGCAGCCAGAGCCCTCATCCCCACTTCCCCGGCCTCAGCTGGTTCCCTTGGGCGGTGGGAAACCTGTGCAAGCCTACAGGTGACTGGCTGGGACCCCTCAGCGGGTCAGGGAGCTGGAGCTGGCCAGTGCCGGACCTCCCCTCCCCTCGATCTGGGTCCTCAGCTGGATCCGTCCCCACCCCCACCCCTGTGACCCCTGGCCAAGCGCCCTCTGAACCTCGCCCTTCCCCACAGCAGCGTGAACCGGCGGACACGCAGCGGCGCCTCCCCGCTGTACCTGGCCTGCCAGGAGGGCCACCTGCACCTGGCCCAGTTCCTGGTGAAGGACTGCGGCGCCGACGTG